TATAAGGATTAATTGAAGATATTCTGTGTTAATCTACTAGAAAAATATGTCCTCTATTTGAATTTTGCTGGGGGATTGTATGTAATTTATCCCATTTTATATAAATTGTGATGACTCCTTGTATGAGAGTAAGTTGAATTTCTTGTGAAATATTTTCTTAAGAATTAAAATTCTGACTTGCCCCCAGCACTTTATATATACCCAAGAATATGTTTAATTGATTTATGTAACAAGCCGTTCACAATAATTTTGTTTTTCACTTGTGCTGATGCGATTTTTGTGCAACATGTAAGAAAATTTATGTGTCATGTGACATCACAAAAATGCTTTTTTATAATATCTTATTCAACTCTCTTTAAAACTTAACTGTGTATGTATACATAGATTACAAACTGAAATCAAAGCATAGCTCGAAATAAAATAGTATATATCTAATGCATATTAAGCCTTCGGACAGCCTTAACATAGCTGCGAAATATCCAAATGCTGAAATCAAAGACACAGCAAGAAGGATGAAATTCAAGCAAATCTTGTATACGAAATAATGCTAACTTGTAAAGGGACATGTCAAAGAAAATAATAAGCAAACTTGTATTATTAAGGTTTGAAAGATTAATGTTAAACGTTTTCTGCTTTACAGAGGGTCATTCTTTCTAAATGTCAGCAGTTCCATAAATCTACAGGGGAAATGTAGATTCATGCCTCAACATACCCTCATGATGTTTATGAATTAATTTTAACAACTGATTTAACAATATGTTCATAAAGTTTGTGGCTGAACTACGACAGTTCGTCGGAAACTATGAATATATTTATTGTATTGTATTCAGAAAGAAGATGTGAAATATATCAAACGTGAACAACATGATAAGCAATCAACAAACATACCTTGATCAAAGAAGCTTAAGAGTTCAGCTAAGATATGCTAAAAACAAAAATTTTTGCAAAAATACAAGATGCATATCTCAGAGGATGCTTTCTCCACCTAGGCACCTAATCCCACTAATGGATTTTTTTAGAGTCTGTGTTTATTTACTCTATTTGCAGTTTTAAATTGTTTGTTGCTGTTTTTTTAAAGATCGATCCCTATTCGTTATTTCCACCTTTTGATTTCTTATAAGACTAAACTGTGAATGAAATATGACGATCATGAACAGTAATCAGACTCAGAAGTCCATTTAAAGAAAACAAATCAGGAACACATTGTATTTGCCGAGAGGTTCATTGACACGACCATAAAGCTTGTTAAATTATGACTTTAAACGAGACCGTTCATATACTTGTTTCATCAACTTGTTTGTTAAAAGCTCTCCTCATTTTAGAAATTGTTTGTACGTCAAGCACGCTCTTACCAACTGGGAGAAATAAACCCCATATGTTTGTACGTCAAGCACGCTCTTACAAACTGGAAGAAATAAACCCCATATGTTTGTACATCAAGCACGCTCTTACCAACTGGAAGAAATAACCTCATATGTTTGTACGTCAAGCACGCTCTTACCAACTGGAAGAAACAACCTCATATGTTTGTACGTCAAGCACGCTCTTACCAACTGGAAGAAATAAACCCCATATGTTTGTACGTCAAGCACGCTCTTACCAACTGGAAGAAATAAACCTCATATGTTTGTACGTCAAGCACGCTCTTACCAACTGGGAGAAATAAACCCCATATGCAGGTGATAGGGGTTTATTGCTACATATAAAAGGGGAAGTTGACGATAGCAATGTTGCAGCCAACACGTTTATCATAAAGTATTGTTGTTAGGTTACTATTAACGTCTTTTTTTAGTAATAAATCTAAATATGAAACAGTTGTGAAAGACTCTGTGGTATCTTTTATTTCAAGTTAACTGGGATATGTTGAGTCGACATATGAATGGAAGTACACTGTGAAAATGTGTTTAGAATCCAAACACTTTTCTATACACTTTGTTGTCACCTGTTGTTTATATGTTTAATTCCTAAACATGTAAAACTTCTAAACATATATGAGAAAGTGTTTAGAATTTGAACACTAGACTTGTGTTTATGTCTTTAAATATGTTCAATTTTTAAGCACACAAGTGTTTAAATTCTAAACACATAAGTGTTTAATAGCTAAACACATTATTAGTATTAGTTTTACTACAAAAACTCTTTAAATTTAGACGTTGGAGAGAGAGAGAGAGAGAGAGAATTATTTTCTTTAATAATATTTGTCATGCAACAAGGATAAATGTACTATATTGATAGTTGAAAGTTAATAAAAGGAAACGGTTTAATATAAGTTGTAACAACTTGTTTCCGAATCCTGTATGTATTATTTACTGTGTACATATGATAACTTATTTAAATGAAATAAAATTTAAACTAAACTTAGGCTGAAAGTTTGAGAGTTTCGCTAACGCGCGGTATTCAATTTGTCGACACGGCCAGATGCTGTTATAGGACTGACGACATCCAAAAATAAGAATTCAATGCTGAAGTAATTTCGAAAGACTGGACAGGAAATGATAGGTGAAATAATAGAATCTGGGCAATATCTGACTGACTGAGGCTTATTTAGTTTAGTACTATATGCATCCCTTACATGGTTGGATCTTAAGCAGTTTTTGTGTGCACACGATTTAGTATATTCGGTACAATCAAAAGAGGTGTACTTTATGCACCTGTTAAAGAATATTCTTTATGTTCGAGTTGTTACTATATGGTTGCTTCATTTGACTGGGCAAAAATTTAAAGAACGGGTTTTACACGGATATAATGGATCCAATGTGAAAATTTGATGGATTCCAATGTTTAAAATTCCATAACAAAACATAAACACTGTAGTTATTAAGCATTTAGTGAACAAAGGCAATGTATGAAGATAAATATCAAAAGAATTAATTTTTAGAAACGTAAAAGTCAATAATTATTACATAATAATGAAAATAAAGTGGTTTACATACCTGTTTTCCATCAGAGAGGTACAACGATTCTTTTTAGGTCAGGAATTTTAGTTTATTTATAGATCTCTTCGAAAAGTTAGGAACTTGCATCTTTATCAAGGGAGAGTATTTAAGGATATTTATTATTCATTTCTACCTTTTGTTTGTGTGATTTTGGTCCACATATATCTAACATAAATATTCTGCACTCTTTCTCCAGCACGATGTTTCACATTTCTTTGGTATTGGCATATATTTCGTCAGCAATTCAAAAATCGATATGTTGAAGGCTTTACATTTAATTGAAAAGACATGAAATAACGATTGGTGATTTAACTTCCTACTAAAGAAATTTATTTATAAATCAGTTATACGAGTATTGTGGGCATGCGCGAAAGAATTTATGTTTATTGGTAAATTTGTGTAATTTTGTATAATGTACGATAGCTACCATGCATGGATTCTAACTCGTTAGTTTTACTTGCAAGATAACCTATTTTTAAAGAATTTAATATAAATTATAGTACAATTTATGTCCGAATGACAAACTGTTATACACCGTAATATTGAGATTAATACATTGGAAAATAATTGCTGTAATTTCTGAGTTCTTTATTTTTATTTGCTATAAAAACAAACACACATTTATTCATTTCTCTGTTTTAAGATAATTATCAAATGGATATAATATACTTACTTTTTTTCTTGCATAACAAATCCACATTAATACTTGAACAATATTATATTTATATTTTATTCTGGTATTCCGTAAAAGAAATTCCAGTAGATTTTTTTCCTTGCCCAGTTATTAATACGAAACATTTTGAAGAACGATTTATGGATGGAATTTGCAACATGCTATCAGATAGTCGATCCAAAGTGGCATTTGAAAGTTCTGAAAGTTGATAAAATGTTTCCCCTTACATTTAAGTGCTGTTTTGGTCAAGGAAATTTGAGTGTGTTGTGATGTTTCTTAATATTTTTGTCATACATGACTGCTAATTGTATCTTCTTTATCTTTTTACTGAAAGCTTTAAAAGTTTTTTGTATGGATTAACACTTTAGCAAACAATTGATGTTTTCAAATCCACCCCGTATATGATATAAAAAAGCTGTTGTACTTACCAGATTATCAAAGTATTGTGTCCCCTGTGTGCGATACATGTATGTAGTCTTATGGAATATGTATAGTCTTATGGAATATGAATACGTAATCTTATAGAGTATGTATAGTCTTACGTAATATGGTTATGTAGTCTTATGGAATATCTATGGTCTTATGGAAAATGAATATGTAGTATTATGGAATATGTATCTTACGGAATATGTATCTTACGGAATTTGTTTTCTTATGGAATATGAAACTGTATTTTATGGAATATGAATATGTAGACGAATGGAATATGTAGATTTATGGAATACCGGTTATGTATTTCATGAAATATGAATATATAGACTTATGGAATATGTAGTCTTACGGAATATGTTGTCTTACGGAATATGGGTTATGTATTTTATGAAATATGAATATGTAGACTTATGGAATATGTAGTCTTACGGGATATGTTGTCTTATGGAATATTGATTACGTATTTTATGGAATATGAATATTTAGTCGTATGGAATATGGCTAACACTAGTCATACATACCAAAAACGTGGAAACAAGACAATTTTTTTTCAAACAAAAAAGATTAAAATTAAAAAAGCGATAAATTTTATTGCAAGGATAAAGTCACTATTGAGCATTATTAAACAATGGTAAAATAATTAGCAGTTCGGATCCCACAAAATCAAACTTTAATTTTGTACAAAAGAGTAGAGTAACACACTGTTTAATTCGTAAACGAAAGGGCATTGCATAAATCACAAGCAAGGGAAAAAACAAGATGACGCTGCGTATTGAATGTAAAGATTTTATTCCCACTTCGGAACTCTCTACTAGCAAGGTAAAACAAGGTATGCGCAGTTCGGAACTATACCTTGGATACAACGTGAGTTAACGCCAACTGATTAACAGCATTGTACTGAAAGTTTATTATCGGCCAAAGCAGAGGGCAGACACTAGAAAAAAGATGGAGAATGAAAAAAGAAATTAATGAAAAGTAATCATTATTTTACATGCAGCAATTGAATTACACGCAGAAGCACACAATATTATTTAAGGGGTTCTGCATTAATAATGTTCTATATTCTTTTTCCTTATTCTTAGATATAATTTCTCTTTTTTTGTGAAGAAAATATATATCCTATAGATTAAAAAATATATATATTCAGTGCTTTTTGAGATTCTTACAGAGAAAAAGAAAACATCTTCACATTTGCTCTACAGATAGCATGCAAACTCACAACATAAAACCTCTGTCCATATATCAATGTTAAACCCTTCTGGACCACAGCTTGCATATATCTTTCTACTATATATTGCTTATTTCTCTTCAACTGCCTTTTAATTCAAATATTCGGAAGCCTCTTTTTGCCTACCAATAGAATTTTTCTCCAAATTTTAAAAATATTTCTTAAGAGCCTTTGACAGAGAAATTCATTGTCATTCTTGGGGACATGTACATCGTAATGTGTTACAAAGTATTTGTTGTTGTTTTCATGAATTAGCAAAATAAAAATTCTATAAAACAAACGTGTTGTATTCTGTATTATGTTAAATCAATAACTTGGTCCATACATTGAACAAACTACTTAATATCAACCCTCTCATTCTTTACAAAACGTATAAATTGATCTGATATATTTATTTATCATATATACATATAATATATATACATTTAAAACTTTCATCAAGTAATAATCAATAATCAATGTTACAAAACTTTTTAATTTTACTCTGGGTTGATGCGGTCATCACGTGTGTTCAGAAATACATAAAAAGACAGTCTTTGTCTTCCAAATGCAAGCCATCAGCACAACACAAGCTATATGTTCATGCTCTAATATAACACCAAAATTTTATTCTAATAGCCAGTGCTCCCGACACCTGTCACCAAGCTCTTTCTACGAGACCACTGACCAGATAGACTTCTCTCTTTCTTTTCTCTCTTGGGATCCGGCATGAAGGGAATATATCTCCAACCTGACCACATTTTAATTTTTCTCGGCAGTGGTATTTCGTAGATTTCCTTTCCTTCCTCAAAAGTCATTGATAAAGATTTAGTACTTTCCTCCTCCTCTTCTGACTGCCAGGCAGCTATTCCTCTCTCCTCTAACGTACCTGTAAAAACAAAACTCACACAGTTCTGTAAATTATATTTCATTCGCAAATTATAAAAATAATTTACTTGTTTTTTTTTCGTGAATGTATTTGGTAATTAATTTAAAAGGCTCCTGAATAATGACCCGGGATAAATCTCATAACTGCAATATCTATTGAAAATATGCACAAAGAGTGTGTAGATATACAAAAGTCACTTGAAATGTGCACTTTGTGAATTGCAGTGATGCTCAAAGACCCGGACGCCTGTCAATTATTGATCTCTATCTTGAATGACTATAATTGTTAAATAATGCAGGTGCGATTAAAACTTTATTAACCAGCTTGGTTATATGAAATGCAGTAAATTATACGAAACATCCTTTGCACTGAATTTTCATCAATTTGGAGGCCAGTGTAGCTCTGAAAAGGGGCTTTCAAACTTGTTTTCGTCAATTTGTACATTATATTAATTTGCAAAAATCCTAGATGATCATGTTTTTTGATGTGTTTCAAAATAAAATAAAATAATGTTATGTGCTCTATGAATATACCGTCAGTTGAAGATAAATTTGGACACATTTAACATAAAAACAAAATTTCAGAGGGACTTACATACCACACTGGGTCTTTGAAATGTCAGTACGTTCAATGTGAAGATAAAGAGAGCAGTGATAAATCTCATAAATCCAGTAAATAATACAACTCGTTAATAGGGCAAAAACAGACCCCCTGGAAATACTAGAGGAAGGGTCAGGTGCCTACGAGGAGAAAGTATCCCCTGGCGACCGGTCATACACGTCGTGATTCCTATGCATTGCTTAGGTAAATGGAGTAATCCCTGGTCAAATTTGCATAAAAATCAATGTCTTAATAATTGCTTGGAAATACATCAGTCGTAATGCGACCAAAGGAGAAGTTGTTTTAGCAAACAAAGTCGCTATAAAAACCAGAGAATTTGCGATACGTTAAGGTCAAGATCTAATAAATGAAAGGTGCCTACAGATTTCTAAAATTTGAGACATAAATTCCTTTAATGATGCTTATAACTTTAGCTTGGTCAAATAAGGTGTTTCGGGACGGGACATAATTTGTAGATAAACAAGACGAAAAAACATATTTTAAACTGTCATTTTCAATGAAAAATTAAGAAAAGCAGTCATCAATACAGGAGTTTTTTTTTTCTATATCAGACAAAAGAAATGTATCCAGATTGCCTACAGTCTCTCAGAAAACGGCAATTTGTATGTTCTGTCCTCTTACTTAAAATAATATTAAATTGAATATAAGTATCGGGATTACTTTTCACACGATTTCAAATTGAATTCCATTAAAATATTTATTTTCTACATAATTATATTAAAGCCGTAAAGTACGAGAAAAAGAAAGTTGAAATTGATTATGACGTCATAATGGATCTAGCACCAAACAGTTAGTCTAAAGTTATTTACTAGATCTTGACCTTAAAACGAGATATAAAATGAAAGCATACTAGTAAATGTCGACATATTTGTCAGTAGCCTGCCTTTGCTTAAAAAAAAATCCAGACCAAAAGAAGAAAGAAATGTGCAATATAATTATTTATTAATTTTATGTATGTTTAATTTTCTTATGTTTGATCATTTAATGTTTATATAATATAGCATTTCACAAATAAATTATACATGTACCGTAACACAGTGTCTACAAGAGGCCTGGATACAAGGTGAAATTGGGTAACTACGGGTCATTGTCTTAGAGGTTCTTTTTTAATACTTATCTTTATCAGTTTGCTGTTTATCTGTGAATTTATGATAATAACTGTTTTATAGTGATATATATTTATCTTCATTAATCTACAAACGTAATACTTGACATTCCATTCTTACTTGTAAAGGTTTACTTTACCTGGAACTGTATTATCCAAAAAGCAGGATAAAATACCACACACAAAATTAGAATTTCCAAAAAGACCTTTCAAACTGAAGTCTACGTCTTGGTACCCTGAAATGATGAATAAGTAATTTTGTTAATACACAGTATATGTATTTACATTAACTGATGGAATGGACCTGAGAGATATACGTTTAATGACATCAAAAATATGTTTTGTTCACTATCAATGTATGATGAGTGTGTATAAACTCATATACGTTTTGTGACCTCACAAGTGTATCAATGCATGATGAGTGTGCATAAACTCATATTTGTTTTGTGACGTCACAAGTGTATTTTGTGTACTTCGCACTCGTGAAAATATCAAAAAAATCCTGTCCCACTCGTGAAATAAATCCCACATCCAACTGCAAAACACTGAATTTACTTTTTATTACATTTTCTTTGATTTATCCTTTGCCTCTGTCTTTTCTTCACACAGTGTCATATAGGCTGTGACGGCATAGTTGAGCAGTTGAGACGTCATAGCTTTGTAATTGCGAGATTGAAAATTGCAACATGGATTTTACGTGTTTTAGCAACATATTTCGGATGAAATTGGCGGTTTTTGGTCTCTATCAAGATGGTTTATTTACTACCTCTATCTTATGACAGGCCAAAAATTATTTTTACTTACTTTAATATCTTTCATAGTGTGAGAGAATATCACTTCAGTATTCTTTCACACTGTGAGAGAATATCACTTTTATTCAATATATAAAACAGAGTATTTCTCTGCTGAAAATGTAATAAAAACTCATATTTGTTTTGTGACGTCACAAGTGTATTTTGTGTACTATCAATGCATGTTACGCTAGTCAATGACACAGGAAATACTTTTAATATTAAAAAAATGTTAATGTAAGAATAATTGCCTAAATTTCTGATTTTCTGAAACAGAAGGTAATTCAAACAAAAATAGCAATATATACCCATATAATCGCAATAAAAGTTTAATTCAAATTCAAGTTACTGCGAATTAAATTTCAACCTGGGTAAATAGAATTTAATGCGAATTATTCTTCTTTTTTTTTTAATTTACTGTGCATCGAATTACCTCGCATTAACTCCGTGTGAACTCTAAGCGAAGCTAATTCGAATTAAATTAAGCTATTTTTGAGTGTAAAACAAAGGTAAATTAAGTTTATCAATAAAAATGTGCTCAGACACTATGACATTGTCTCAAATGCCTATCTGCTCTGCATAAGGTGACGTGATTTGCAAATACGTCATAAAAGCAATACTGTAGAAATAAAATTTTAATGCACATTAGTTTACTTCGCATTATATGTCGTGTGAATGTAATTTAATTCGAATGAGTTTATTTTGCATAAATTTACTAACAATTAAATATTTAATGCGCATTAGTGTAAGCAGTGCTTTAAATTTATAGCTATATATTTTTTTTAAGTTTACCCTTGAGTATGTGAAGTGAGAACATTTATAATGGATTTGGAAAAAGAAAATCCCTTAATTCCCAACCCATCAAATACATTCAAACTTCTTAAAAGTGTGTAGTTTATAAAAATATCAGTAATAAATTTCCATTTCCCCTGTGATTTTGATGTAATTGTTTTTTTTCTTAGATTTTGATTATGAAATAGTTTTTTTTCATACCTGTGTCTATATCACTGCCATACTTTTTTACCCACTCTGGTATCAGAAGACCTATTAAAATAGAGGTTCCAATAATAGCTAAATTTCTAGAAGACGTCAGAGAAATTGGTCTGAGGTTAGAAAGCGTGACCCCGATAAACATTCCTATCATTGTTATCAGAGAGCCACCGAGAACTGGATATGGGATCGAAATGAACAAGGCGGACAGCTTCCCGAAAAGTCCAAAGATGATTAAGAGAATGCCACACCCGATAAAAACACTTCTACTGGCAACCTGAAATGTAATAAGAAGAAGAATAAAAAAAAAACGATTCAAGGGTATTGGAAATTCCAGAAAGGATATTTCGAGTGACGTTCTAGTAATGTCTGTTGCAACATATTTTACTTAATATTTTCTCATATGATAAAAAACTTTAAGAGTCTGGTGATTCCTTGACTTACAGCAGCTTATATATATATATATATATATATATATATATATATATATATATATATATATATATATATATATATATATATATATATATATATATATATATATATATATATATCCGGTATTGTGTTGTTACAGGGCAAGAGCCAATGTTATTTCTAGGTTAATATTTCTTTATATAGACTTACTCTTGTTACACCTATTGAACCTATGTTGCCGCCATAAGTTGTCGTGGCTTGCGTTGCCCCAACAGCCCCAGACAGTATAGTCCCTATTCCCTCCACCATAATGCCTCTATTTACCGCATGCTGAGGGGGAGGAGGTACGTGGCTCATAGATGCGCATGCGTAATAATCTCCAATTGAATCCAAAATGGACAAAAATGTCGCTATTAAAAATCCCAGGAAAACTGGTGTTGAGTACGAAACGGGTCCATGTAGGCCTGTAACAATCCCAACAAAGCTATATGTTTCAACTCGTCAAAGACGAATTCACAGTTCATAAAAATTACTTCACATCTTGGCAAAAACTAGCTGCAGAACTGAGACACTTTTTGGTCGCAGGTTTCGGTAATTGTGTGTATGCATTTCCTAGCCAAAACCACGGTATCAGTTAATTAAACAAATTTACATGCCTTTTCTTGTTACTTTATTGTCACTTTATTCAAGTTTTGACATTTCATTTGGTCATTGTCAACTACATTATTTACAATAGGTGAAAAGGAAATTTAATATATAACGCAACAGGTGTATAGAATTTCGTAGAAGACGCGTTTTCCCTTACAGGTTTTCTTAAGTACATAACCATGGTTTTCAGTAGTCAGGCGAAGCTTTTGAAACATTCCAAAGACTCGGGGGGGGGGGGGGGGGTCCTTTGGTACCTTGCAAAATAGTTGCTGTTTGTTGTGTTACCTCTCTTGCGAGAATATTAAGCATAGATAAAGCAACAAGAGTAAGAGTAAAATCTATTGTTTAATAACGGATACCATGCTTCAAGTATTAAAAAGGCATATAATGCAAGAAAAAAAAATACTAACAATCACTCAAATTTACAATCAAAAGTGCAGCGGTTAATTGAAGGTTTAACAATGAATGGATCTATAGCTCTATAGTATGTGTTTTCGAAGTTTCTGTCCCAGAGAGCTACAGATCTGCAGCTATAGCCCAAAATATGTATTACACAGAGTTAAGGTCTAGGAAAGTTAAAAATGTCTAGTAATCCTCAGATATTACTTCAACAAAATTTCTGTAAGGATAAAAACCGTAGAATTTGACACGTATCACATATATACCTTAATGAAAAAGGTGAAAGTATCGAGCACTGATCAGTCTCATAAATCATCTAAACAATAGGAATAAAGAAGGTCAAAGATGTCACGTACATACTACATTAGTGCAACAAAATACAGGATAAGTCACAAATCTTGTTCAGAAATAATTTCTGATCTTCGAGATTTTGCCCAATATTGCTACCATGCTTACGTGATTAGAATGGGATGCCTATTTCTATTTTTATCTTTAATAAGAATTGAAATAAATTTTGTACATGTATATAAATGTTCGTACCTGGATAGGGAAAAAAGAACCAGTCTGCTGCTGAAATTCCTTTCAGACGAGCATCAGTGCGAGCTTTATAACCTTTATCTGTCTTGTCATCTGTAAATCCACCTGCTTCTGTAATTATCCAACTAACTACCCAGCCAATTACTATGGAAATAAGGATCTGAAAAAAAAATAACATTCCTGTGACAAACTCAGCAGAACTTGCTTGTACAATTTTCCATTAACACTTTCACGCTGGTGAGCGAACAGTGAGCGAACGGATGGAAAAAAGAGAGCGAACGGAGAGAGAACAATGAGAGATTGATATGATAAGCGCTATCGGGAGGTCGTGAGTTCGAATCTCGGTCGCGACTGACCTAAATTGATAAAAAATGGGTAGCAACTGTTCCTTCGCCATGCGCTCGGCACTTTGAAGTGAAAGTTGCGGGTCCTTCGGATAAGACCTTGAAAATCGAGGTCCCGTGTCACGGCAGGCGTTGGCATGATAAAGATCCCTCACTGCTCAATGGCCCTGAGTGCCGAGTAAAGGTCAAAATTTGAAGCCCTTCACCAGTTTATGGTGACGTCTTTATATAAATTCTCGAATGGGACGTTAAACAACATACAATCAATCAATCAATCTGATAAGCGCAGAGTAAACGGGGAGGAAAACTTGGTGAAAGTATAGCTAACGGCGAAGAACGCACAGTGAACGTTGAAAGAAATTACAGATTAAGAAAGTCTTAATGAAACATATGCTTTACAAATAATATTAATTACAATTATTTTGATTTTTGATTGCCATTTCTCAGTTTGAAAACAACATAAAATTGTCGGTTCTCCTTCTGTAAAGAAACTTTTATAAGTGGATCAAACGCAAAGTAATGCGATAAAAGAACAGAGAGCGAACGGCGGTAGCATTGAGAGCAAACGGTTTGGGAATTACTAATTTATTCCCTATATTATTCAGAAGCAAATATTCTGTTTTGACACATTAATTACTCATATTTCTCGTTTTAATCATTGCAAATGTACAGATCAATCATTGGAGTTAATTCATATACCAAATTGAATTTGTTAGCTGGAAGAAGTTTTACTAATTCATGTTTTTTTTCATCGTCGTATACATACTTGTTTATCCCCTATGTCATTTACTCGTCTATATCTTTATTTTACTTTTCTTTACATTTTACGTTTTTTAAATCCATTTAAATTCGATCATTTATAATTTCACTTCAAATTTGATAAAAAATTATTTGAGTATAGCATTAAATCTTAGTTTTACGTATATTTTCATATAATCTATGGACAAAATACATGGAAAATATAAACTGAGCACTGACAAAAAAGAGAAGTACATAATGTTTAGGAACTGTATATGCTGTTCAAGTTGTTTGATTTAATATGTTTGATGAAAAGACAATTTAATTATCAAATTGTTTCCATGTACAACGATCACATTTCAGCACTTGGTAACTTACAGCAAACACCTGATGTAACGGGTACTTAACAACACGACACCCGCCCTTCGGCGTCCACACAGCTACAGGCATGTTATACTTGGCTAGATAGAAGGCCAGCACAAAGCCGGTGGCAGTTACACTGAAATATCATAAAATAATGTACTTAATTAAAATCCCTACTGATTTTTTTTGAATACATGATTAAGGCAAAAACATCTCTATACTCTGACGTTATGGGTTGCAGCAAAGCATCATTGCTACTCCGGAACAAAAATATCGAGTTAGCCGAAAACCGGTCAGACAGACAAAGGAGTATATTATTTTCAATACATACTCAGAAGACTTTTAGTGAAAAACAAAGAGTAAAATAACCCACAGAGTTGAGATTCCCCAGTTCGGTACGCAGAAGTCTAAAATGGGATCCACCACGGCAATCCCCAGTAGTAAGATGGTGGGGACCACAGTAACAGGACCGATGAAGCGGAGGAGTACCCCGATAAGTCCCGTGGCTCCCATCAACATGTGTATCACCCCCACAAGCATCAAACACCCCTGTAACTGTAATAAAAGATTAAAATAAGATACAGTCCGGAAGCTGCACACGTGTGCACATATTTTTGTATGTAAGACAAATTTGTTCAATATTGATCTCTGAGAACCAAAGATAGGCTAGGAAAAGCTCTATGTGGCTGTATTTTAAATACGAAATTTTAAAACCGAAAAGAAGACGGGCAAAAATAATTTCATTCATTTTTAGCTCACCTGAGCTGAAAGCTCAAGTGAGCTTTTCTGATCACATTTTGTCTGTAGTCCGTCTGTCTTTCCGTCTGTCTGTAAACTTTTCACATTTTCGACTTCTTCTCCAGAACCACTGGACCAATTTCAACCAAACTTGCCACAAAGCATCCTTGGGTGAAGGGGATTCAAGTTTGTTCAAATGAAGGGCCACGCCCTCTTTCAAGGGAAGGGGAGATAATAAAGAATTAGTGAAAAATTAATAGCATCTTTTAAAAATCTTCTTCTCAAGAACCACAGGGCCAGGAAAGATGAAACTCATATGGAAGCATCCCCAGGTAGTGTAGATTCAAGTTTGTTCAAATCATGACCCCCGGGGGTAGGGCGGGGCCACAATGGAGGATCCAAGTTTTACATAAAAATATATAGGAAAAACCTTTAAAAATCATCTTCTCAAGCACAGCAGAGCCATGATGAGTCATATTTATATGGAAGCATCCTCAGGTAGTGTAGATTCAGGTTTGTTCAAATCATGACCCCCCGGGGGTTGGGCGGGGCCACAATGGAGGATCAAAGCTTTACATAGAAATGTATAGGAAAAACATTTAAAAATCTTCTTCTCAAGAACAGCAGAGCCATGATGAGTCATATTTATATGGAAGCATCCTCAGGTAGTGTAGATTCAAATTTGTTCAAATCATGACCCCTGGGGTAGGGCGGGGCCACAATGGAGGATCCAAGTTTTACATAGAAATATATAGGAAAAAACTTTAAAAATCTTCTTCTCAAGCAATGCGAAGCCATGATGAGTCATATTTATATGGAAGCATCCTCAGGTAGTGTAGATTCAAGTTTGTTAAAATCATATTTCTATGTAAAGCTTTGATCCTCCATTGTGGCCCCGCTGTAGGGCGGGGCCACAATGGAGGATCAAAGCTTTACATAGAAATATATAGGAAAAACCTTTAAAAATCTTCTTCTCAAGAACAGCAGAGCCATGATGAGTCATATTTATATGGAAGCATCCTCAGGTAGTGTAGATTCAAGTTTGTTCAAATCATGACCCCTGGGGGTAGGGCGGGGCCACAATGGAGGATCCAAGTTTTACATAGAAATATATAAGAAAAACCTTTAAAAATCTTCTCAAGAACAGGAAAACCATGATGAGTCATTTATATGGAAGCATCCTCAGATAGTGTAGATTCAAGTTTGCTCAAATCATGACCTCGGGGGGTAGGGTGGGGCCCAATGGGGGATCAAAAGTTTTACATAAGAATATGTAGAAAAAATATTTCTTCTCAAGAACAGAAAAGCTATGTTTAGTCATATTGATATGGAATTATCCTCAGGTAGTGTAGATTTAAGTTTGTTCAAATGATGACCCCTTGGATAGGGAGGAGCCACAATGGGGGATCAAATTTTTACAAAGGAATATATGGGACTTTTTTTTTAAAAGAATCATCTCAAGTACAACAAAGCCATTTGTTATATTGACATGGAAGCATCATCAGGTAGTTTAAAATTCAAGCCCCCTCCCCTCCCCCCCCCAGTAATCTTTTCAATACTGAACTGATTTGTGCTTTTACCTAGCCAATGTGCTCAGGTGAGCGATGTGACCCATGGGCCTCTTGTTCAAAATACATATATATATATATATATATATATATATATATATATATATATATATATATAGAATGATATCTGCTTACCTCCCGCATATTTCTTAAGATAACGCCCCGTAATTGTGATTCTTCACTGACCGTTATCTCTAAAGAAGCGTTCGTGGAATTTAATCCTGAAAATAACAATCAATAAATAAAGCAGATTCTGGGTGATTACAGGAAAAAGTTTGCAGGTGGAGTTAGAAAGTTTTCCATTTTCCACACTGTTAGGGATTCAATCCGTTATTTAGAAAGATACAAGACCATAACAGCGCAGTAAATAAACATCTTAAGCATTGAAATATCACCTAGATAAAACTCTCTTGCCTCAATACAGAAGATAATTACAGTATGAAAATAAATAGACCCAGTAATAAATAGACCCAGTGTAATACAGAAGATAATTACAGTATGAAAATAAATAGACCCAGTGTAATACAGAAGATAATTACAGTATGAAAATAAATAGACCCAGTAATAAATAGACCCGGTGTAATACAGAAGATAATTACAGTATGAAAATAAATAGACCCAGTGTAATACAGAAGATAATTACAGTATGAAAATAAATAGACCCAGTAATAAATAGACCCGGTGTAATACAGAAGATAATTACAGTATGAAAATAAATAGACCCAGTAATAAATAGACCCAGTGTAATACAGAAGATAATTACAGTATGAAAATAAATAGACCCAGTACTAAATAGACCCAGTGTAATACAGAAGATAATTACAGTATGAAAATAAATAGACCCAGTGCATTAAAAGTTTGACGTGAACATTCAGAATCATAACATTACTGACCAAAATAGTAAAAGCTGGACAAGATTACACGAACTGAAATGAAAATCGACTTAGACGAACTAGCTAGAATCTAAACTGAACACTTAAAGCTTAAAAGGAAACCGTTTAAGTTCGGACTAGAACAGATACTTTATGTTTTGTGAAGATCACACCATTTGCACATTTGAAAAAATCAGAAATAGGCGAAATCTACGAAATCGACAATAAAAAAAAGATCCATTATAGGTTCAGCTAAGGGAAAACGAACAAATAAATTTTAAGTAGAACTATCATCAAAGGTCTCTGTTATCTTAGCGTGACAAAGTTTGTACATGTGCTCAAGTCATAATTTTGTTAAGTACATGTAAATGCATTTTCCATCCATATATGGCATATTTATGTAGTGGAGAAGATTTTATCAGGGATCTCCAATGAAGGAGGTGAAGATGACAAACAATGATCGTCTCATAAATCTGTAAGACAGTGTAACTGGGAAAAGGGCAACAACACAGACACCTAGAAACACCAGTGGAGGAATCAGGAGCCTAGGAGAAGTAAGCATCCCATGTTGACCGGTCACACCTGCAGTGATCGTCTATTGAATCTTTAAGACATTATAACTGGAACAGGGCAAAAACAAGGACACGTAGAAACACCAGTGGAGAAATCCGGTACCTAGAAGTAGCCTCTTCTGTCGTTAGCCCTCCTTGTTGATCAAGTATAAGTAAAATATAAGTAAGTATAAGTAAGTCAAAGTAAGTATAAGTCAAAATAAGTATGCAAACAATTCCCGAACAATTGATTTAAAACATGCCAGTCAAAAAACGACCCACTGATTCGTAGTATTTGCAAACAAGGACACTACAACGATCACGGATTATGCGAAAAGCTGGCTTTAAAGGAAGTTATTGAAAGCCCTCTAACTTCAACTTCTTTGTCAGTAGCCTGCTTCGTTTCAAATATTGATATATTCATACTTAGAGCCTGTCCTTGCACCGAATCAGGTAGGAGAATAAACACAACATGCAGGTGACAGTGGAATGTTACTACATTAATAAGAAAAGTGGATGATGAAAAAGCTGAAGTTATCATGCATGTTTGTCGTGTAAAGATGTTAGTTGGCCATTAACGTCTATGGTTAGTAAAACATTCAAATATGAAACAGATGTGGTGTCTTTTATTTCGAGTTCACTTCGATTTATAGAGTTGACATACGAATTAAAATGATGAAGCATTGTCGATATATCTAAATATTATACTTTCATGCAAATAAGTTGAATCTGATTCACAGAGGAACATCATTACCCTCCCTCTGAATAATGAAACCACGCCCTCAAGCGTGATAGAACGTAGCAACAGTCAGCATTGCTTGACGACTGGTGATATTCCAAAAAAATATTGACTGCGAAGAACTTACGCGCGCACGGTTCAATATTATATGTATTAATATAAAACATTCAGTGTAATATAGTAAATACTGCATGTAGTTGAGGGTAACATTGAACATTTTCACCCCTTAAAAACCATTGTCAACGTCTGCTGCGCCTCAATTGGCAACGGTTTTCTTAGGGTGAAAAGTTTTAATAAGCATTATTTATTTAATGTTGAACTGAAGGCCGCAGCAAGACTTTTCTTCTTCTCATGAAGAAGTTTTTGAATAAATTCTACTTCATAAGAGTAAAAAGCAGGTCGGTAAAGAAAAGAGCACATTAACGCCTATCGAAATTCCAACAAATTTTTGAAGACGCCACATAAATATTGTCAATGAGAAACTCGGGCATTTTTTTTCAGAGCACTAGTGTGTAGTATCAGAATTAATATTCTTTAACAAAGTAATGTGACCGATCAGAAGATATGAAAATTCCCTACTCCTATTTCAATTGAAGAAGCTGTTGTTTATGAGGGCAACAAGACTGCTCTTTAATTTAACGTGATGAATGGTTGCAAAAGTGTTTAAAACTGCTACATTTTGATATGAATGATTTTGGGAAAAGTTCTTTTGAATTTTTATATGTTGTAGCAGAGTTTCTCTTAAGTTTCGCCTTCACATCAGTTTGGTATACCATTTAGTGGCATTTACTGGACAATGGATTTTTGATTGTATGGGTTTTGATGAAGTTTTAGATTCCAATATGGGTACAGAAAATCAAATTCACTTCCGTTGACTGGGATGATATAACTCAAAATTTTTGAAAAGTTGCATTTTTTTTATCTTTATGTACTCGATGTATTGTTGATTTGTTGATTGTTGATTCCATGTATTATGTACTTCTCACTAAGATATTAATTAATAGTAGTGAAGGAGAAACTTCAAGAGAACTGTGCAACAATATATTCGAGAAGTGGTGTAAATCAGATGCGGATACTAAAAGATTCCAAGGAACTTTTGGAAAATTTGAAATCACAAGAATTTACCAAAATCAACAGCTTAAAAACTTACGACTTTTTAACTTTATACACAACCATTCCCCACGATAAATTAAAATCCAGGCTTTTTGATATCATTGACAGCTGTTTTTTCAATAAAAATGGAACTCGTAAATTTACTTACCTTGTCATTGGTCATTTGCAAAATTATTTTGTTAAAAAGATTCTGATTGTACACACAAGTACTCTGAGGTTGCATTAAAAAGATGTTTGAGTTTCTGATTGACAATATCTATGTGGTTTTTGGAGAGCAGGTCTTCCAACAATCTATTAGAATTCCCAAGGGTACCAATTGCGCCCCGTTATTAGCAGACCTTTTTAACCTAACCAAGCTTTATGATAAACGTGATGACTTTAACTTTTCAATCGTCAACTTCCCTTACTAATGCAGAAATATACCTTCATCACCTGCATAAGGGGTTTATATCCCTCAGTTGATTCGATACGCAAGGGCATGCTCTACGTATGTACAATTTCTAAAACGAGGTAAATTATTGACAAGTTGATGAAACAAGAATATCAGCAGTCTCGTTTAAAGTCATCATTTCGTAAGTTCTATGGTCGATACAATGACCTTGTCAGCAAATACAATTTATCATTGAGTCAAATGCTGACTGACGTTTTTCATACTAATTCTTAGGCCATTATTTACACACTGAATTGTCGACGGATTTTTCCGTTATTTCCCGATCATGACAAGGAGCACACGGCGCGTGTGACCGGTCGGCAGGGGATGCTCACTCCTCCATGGCACCTGGTCCCACCTCTGATGATTTGGAGGCATGTGTTTGCTCTGCTTCTATTTTTTATTGTTTAATGGACGTTTGAGCTTGAATACTGTTCGTTATCTCCATATATTTCATGGAGACACTCCAATAACTAGGCAGTATGTATAGAACCCATGGTATCACGATCTGACAACCCCACTGAGCGCTGTAACGGGTTGTGATAGAAGTGACATTATAGATAAGAATAAAAATTTCTAACGACAAAGCAGGATACAAACCTTGGAAAGTAGTTCTCACTTTACACTTATTTGGGTCAATTTCCAATAGTGTCAACAGCGGCAGAATATACCCGCCATAAGCCCCTTGATAAAGAGGTAATCTGAAAATAGATAAATTATATAAATATGTATATAAAACAACACTTTTCGTTTTTATTAGAACAAAATTTCAGTTTAAGAGTTACAAATTTTGCATTTATCTAACTTTTAAAAGATTTAAAAAACAAACAAACAAACAAAACAAAACTGTGCGATTGAATGTATTTCATCATAGATATTGGAATACATGTGGTCTATATTTCAGTACATTTTAGTGTTTTATGTGCAAAATTTTGATTACCTGACTCCGATGGTGTTCATTAAAATTGTGCAGACCCCATTCATACAGAGTGAGGAACTTAATATGTACGCCACGAATTCTTCATCGTCCCCGGCGCAGATTACTTTGGATGCTATCAATACGACTGCCAACGTTCCCGAAATGGACATCAAGAATTGCTAAAAATACCAAATTAAGTTAGTATAAAGTATTTATTTGTAAAAGGAACGCAATATAAATTCTTTGGAATTTTTCCTTCCAAAAAATCCATGTCCCATCTAGTTTCTTTTTGTATCATTGACTTTGAATATACTTATATAAACAATAAGTACAAAAGCATCAAATAACACTGGTTGGAATTATTCCTTATTTTCTATTTTAATTTATAATTCCTCAATCATGTAATATAGTCAAACCTCGTTATCTCGAAACCAATGGGACCAAGAAAGAACTTCGAGATATCGAAGTTAAAAGACATAAACTCACTACGATATATCCATGGTATTTGCGATATCGAAGTTTGAGAAAACGAAGTACATTTACTCAATATTTTCTCCTTTTTTCGTATGAATACTGCTTGCTGATTGATTAGCTCAAAAAAAAAAAAAACAACTCAGATCCGGTCTGTATGAAAGTTTTCCTACGAAGTCTGCCTATCCATCAAGATTAATAACACACTATTTTACCACTGCAACTATCGCAGAAATAACTTATCTACCCAGGATAGAATTCCTGCAAACTTTATTGTTTAATTAACCCCATTGTCTATCTGTTGAGGTTGTTGATAATTTACTTGAGATGGCGAAACAATGGAGTATATCGTCGTGAGAATATTCAAAGAAGTTTATCATCGTCAAGCTTTTATTTTGCAAGTAAATCAGACTTTTTCACGGGCACATTGAATTTTAAAATTTTTTTAGGTATATTTTCTTCCTTTAGATGGATTCTCGGCTTAAATGGCGTATATGATGAATATTTTGAATGACAAATTACACAAGGAAAAAGAAAAATAAAACGAGAGGAAATTGTTAGATCACTTTCATAAAAGCACGGAACTTTTATTTCCCTTCAGTTTCAAATTATATGAAGTATTGAGGACAACATGGACTGATCATTTGCTGCACAGCGTTATAAATGATTACACAGGGGTAAAGTTAAGGGCAAATCTGGATCCTTTAAAAAAATTATTTACAACTATGACCGCAATGTAATTTTGGGAATAACTTACTTTTTCCCTTGAATTTGAAAATGACATCATTCCTTTCAAAAAGAAATTTTGACAGATATTTTTAGGTAAGCTTTTTTTAATCGAATAATAATTTTGAGAGATTTTACAGTCAGTAAAGATTTTGGTCTTTATCTCAAACTCTGTATGACGGGTCCTTATTTTTTTTGTTACCAGATTCTCTTTTTTTCTTCGTTTCTTTATCTAGTACCTACAGAATAAAATATCTGATAATACTACTCTTGTCGTTGAGGATACGGTAAAGTGTTTAAGTGATATGATGCAATTTGACCAAAAGGATCTATTGTGGGACATCGAATTATTGATCTGAACATATATTTTATTACTAGTAAGAAATAAAACGTAAATGGATTGGGCAGCAGGCGCCTATACAAGCCCTGTCCACAAGTACAAGGTCTATCTAAAATTTATATATTTATAATATTACATATGTTTAACAGGTACATGTCATTAATAATTTGCATTTAAAGAACACAAAAGTGTATGAGAATTAGGCAAAAAAAAGTTTAAATGATTACCGGTTTTATGAGAAAAAAATGACCGAAAGGGGTACAGCAAGAACAAAAATTAAAGACATTGTATTATGTGTATTCGATTCATTTCATGAGTTCACGTCCAATTATAAGGGCGTTAACGGTCACCAAAATGTCACAAGTATGTCAACATTCTCCGTAAGACAAAACACACCTAAATATTTCACGTAAAAGTTCCGCAATGTAGACTGTAAAAAAATGTTTTGGCCCAAAGAATATTTTTTTTGTTTTTATCAAGGAAAACCTTTTTGTAAATATAACTAATTTATGATCTTAGTCAGAATTTTGTTCTTTTTTTTTTTTTTTTTTTTTTTTTTTTGACGTTCGTTGATCTTTTCCTAATGACCTTGAGTCATTACTGTGATAGAGATGTGATGCAGATGTGATAGAGATTTGGTCAGGATTGAGCAAATCTTCTATCCAGTGTGTACAAATAACCTGAAGATTTTAAAATCTTTAAAGAACAAATGAAACAAATGTGCAAAATTTCTAATTTATAGGATAATTACATAAATCCCGGTGAAATTATAACAGGCATATGTCTATTGACCTGGAGCAGCATCGCTACGGGTACTTGCAGCAGTGAAGCAAAGATTAAGCGACCAATTTATTCAAAAATGGCATAGTGATATAAATAATTCATCAAAAGGTCAAATTTACAAAATTTTTAAGAGTGATTTTGGATTTGAAAAATATCTAAGTATTTTACCTAGTAAACTCCAAAAAATACTAATAAAATTTAGAACTTCAAACCACCACCTCCCAATTGAAACTGGTAGATGGTTAAATATTCCACTGGATGAAAGAGTTTGTAAATTGTGTAATACAGGGCAAATAGCAGACGAATATCATTTCATCCTAGAATGTAAAACATTGAACAGCATCAGAAAGAATCTTTTACATCCCAGATTTTGTAAAACGCCGAATACACTTAAGTTTTCTGAAATTATGTCAACGACAAACTTAAAAACTTTAAAAAACCTTTGTATATTTATATCTAAAATAAACGACACCGTCTGTCCTCCATAATTTAAATGTTATCATACCATTTTTTTTTTCTTCTTTTCTTCTTTCATTGTATGTTTATTGCTATACTATGTACATATGTATATGCCCCTCATTTATGCTATTGTATCATAATTAAATTTATTATTTTTGTCACAATTATGACGACTAATTTATTGTACCTCATGTACCACTGATGTTGGTGTGAGTGAATAAAATGAAATGAAAAATGAAATGAAATGTCATTTTATTGTCACGTCAGCCGGAGATGTTTTCTCATGTGAAGCGATCGGGAAGCGTTTATCCTTTCTTTCTATGTTATCACATATAACATTCCAAAAATCAAACTGTCTCTTTCTTAAACGATTCTTTAAAAAAATAAATAAAACGTGTGCTGTTGATGTCCCAGTGTAAAATATAAATGAAGTGTCATATACAGGTTGACTTAGCCTCATGCAGTACCGATTTATGCAACGCGGGTCAACGTTATAATTAGTCCGTAATAATTGATGGTTGTACGGAGCTTTTATTTTTAATCTGGTTGAATTATTTGTAAGAAAAAATATATACCAATGAAAAAACAAACCTTTAGTCATGTTTTATGGCATTGTTATTGTTTTAGCAGGTCATTTAGTCTGGACGAGAGTTCTCCATAGCGCGAAACAAAATTTTAGGTATGCTCGCTGCGCCGCCTTGACGTCAAAATCAAGTTTGTCGTCGTTGTCAGATTTCTATACCGTGCTGAAATTTTTTAATGGTCTCCGTATTTCTGATCGAAATTCTTACAAATTTGCACAAAATGAAGACAAAATTAGATTGAAAAATTATATACATAATTTGAATTATTTTCGCTCTTACTATGGGTCCACCGGGAGTTTTAACGTTGGTGTTACATAGTTTCAATAACTGATTTCGTGACTGCGCCGGGTACCCCTACCATCGACACATTAATATACCATTAAAAAGAAGAAATAAAATATTTGTAATATATTTCTTGCTTTTATTAATTCTAAGTGTCTGTCAAACGTATATGCAAATTTGTACCGAAAGACGTTCATTAGGAAGAAGAATATACACAATGTCTCAATAATTTCCAAACAGCCCTCGTATACACATATTGCAATATATACATATATGCAATTTAGTACCTCACAATTTTTTCCAAACTGTAACATCGGTTTGAATAAAAATATATATATATATTTTTTCGTAACTATCTGCTGTTCCAATAATCATCTTGTAGATCCCCCTCCCCCTCCCCGATATTCAACCCGTTTTCATATATCACAGGAAAAAACTGGAAAACACAAAATAATTGTTCCGTAAAAAAAGCCACGGACTATATTCTTATCCACTTTACTATTTATGTTATGAAAACATGTTTAAATATTATATCAGATTAATGGAATCAAATACCACATATAATAATGCACTTTTTGTATCAGCTTTCAAAGAGGACAAAGAGTTAGCTTTGAAAAAGGGTTATACTTCAAGGCAAAGCAAGATTATCAATCTTCAACAAAACTAAACTTGACTTCTTTGAATATTTCCCGTAAGGATTTGAGGTTTAAGTTAAATAAAACTTTTGTTGATGTGGCCTTTGAACAATTGAGCAAAATATCATCTTCTAACTCAGGAAAACTTTATTTTTATAGTAAAGTCTTAAACTGTACTGATTAAAAATTGCAGAAAAAGCATGAAAGATCACAGCCAACAAATTAAGAATCAGTGGACATTCACTATTCATTGAAACAGGTAAATACTGTAAACCAATAATCCCTAAGGAAAAACGTTTATGCTATATGCTTGTAAATTATTGGTTGAAAAATAAAAACATTTTGTACTTTACTGTCCTGTGTATGCATGACCATCTTCGATTTCGATATTGTGATATTTTTGATAATAAATTATACTGTGGTTCTGATCCCATTAAAGAAATTGTTAACCCATGTGATTATAATACTACGAAACGTTTATGTATCTACTTAGATAAATGCTTTATGCAGCGGAAACAATCCCAAGGTATGTAAGGAATTGTGTAAAATTGATTTGCATGCAATTATGTTATAATATTCTTCTTTTTTTCTGGTATATGTCATTCGGTTTCTTATTTTGACTGTATGCCAACATGGTGATGTCAATAAATTGAATTGAAATATTTAAAAAAGAAAAAACAAAGATTTCTTTTAATAGAACGTACGATCATATTATTGATAAATAAGGCTAAAAAATATAATTCAAGAAAAATAAAGTATGATTAGCAGTGGGTTGAATACTGTGGGTGGGTGGGTGGGGTTCGTGTCCACATGCACATGTACCTATGCATTTTTTCGAAGACACAGAATTTACGAACAGTCCGAATTTTAATGTCCTATCGAAGTTCTAAGTATCGCTCGGGACCAAACTTGTGCGCTATACCATAAACATTGTACTGAGATAAATCGTATAGCACCTCTGGGTTAATTTCTCCTTATTCATGAAAAAATGAACTTGAAATTGTACTTTGGACTTAAAGTTAAAAGGCAATCTCTTCTTGTGTAAATGATTGAGAGAAGAACCAGAGAGAGAGAGAGAGAGAGAGAGAGAGAGAGAGAGAGAGAGATGACATTAAATGATTATTTCAATGAACTTCCCTGCTTTAGGATGAGCTACATATGTACCAGTGATCATAATTTGTATTTTACTTTATACATGTATGTACACCAGGTACATGTACCTTTAGGTTCGTTATCTGTTATGCAATATTTTTTTTTTATAAGTTTAAGAAGGATATATATACTTGAAAAGTACTGAGATGTTTACAACATTTACAAACAAAAAAATGACGTTAGGAAAGAGTTATAGAGTGCAAAAACAGACAAATATTCCTATTAAAGGCTCCTTTGATCCATCATAATAGTCTGGGACAATTTTACATTTGATAACTTTGAAAGAGTACAAAACATTTGATTTCAAAGATATTTTTATGTAGATGCATTTTTCTCTCACATTAATCAAAGATTGGCATTTTAAGGTACATGTTAAGACGAAGCATCATCCGATTTTGGAAATTTTCACAACTTTATTAATTTTACCGATCCGGTCAGGAAAATCTTTTTTTTTCAAGTTTTTAAAATTTAAACCCAAATAATGCAATAACCGAATAAGAGATTCTTCAAAGTTTTTTTTAAATAGTTTTTAAACCGATTTGTTAACATCATTGTTTTTTTTTTTTTTTTTTTTTTTTTTTTTTTAAATGATAGGTGTTTCGTTTTCTTTCCAATTAAAAGCTCTGCTATCTTTTGATAGATTCAAATATCAAAATTTCAAATAATTTTAATATCAAAATAAAATCGTTATCTTACAGTAAATAAAACGATAGAAGCAAATCAATAAATAAGTTAATAGATTGCAAACAATATAACTGAAATGTTTACTTTAAAATGCCAAAATTAGTTATGACTTTAAAGCGACAGTACGGCTGCAAAATGTGTGCTATTTCATTCAAATTTACCCAATATGTCATTAAGAAATAAGGTATAAAGTTGATGTAAGCAGTTTGAGAAACAGAAATATTCTCTACTCAAACAAAATTAACGTAATTAGAATCTGCCGGAAAATCAAGGGTCGTACGAACTGAAGCAATCTTAGATCTGTTTATTTGTACCACGTGAATTCTAAAACGGCACGTGCCTACACTGTAGAGTTTACAGTTATAATGAATATTAGGTGAAAGCAATTTTCAAAAACACAAATTATCATAACTTTCTGATAAAATAATCTAAAATAATAATCGTAAAGATTTTAGTCTGCATTCAGGCGAATTTAACAGAATTAAAAGTACAAATGTTTACGTTTTGTGTATTGGGGTCCGAGAAAGGGAAAACCAACTTATCATACGTTATCGCGGCAAACGTCAAACACAATATTTTTTCTGCACAGTTAAAAAAAATTAGCATTTCAAATGGCAACAATGTTTATAAGTCAAAGATGTATTTTTAATGTTGAGTTTACACTATTTTTTTTCTTTGAAAGCGACGGAAAAATGAGAAATGATAACAAGTATCATCAAACCTGTCGAATAGAACCTTCGAGAGCCCTGCGTGAGTGTCGCCGAGTTCCCGTTTCTTCCTTATCCAGCGATTTTATTAATCCCCAAACTAAATTTTAGTCATGAAAGTTGCTTTTTTCAAGTTCTATTTTCAGCTTCTTTTTCTTTTTGGTCGACTTGGTCAATGTAGCAGGCCTACCGGGATTCCCTCTCTAACCATGCTGTTTTGTTTATGAAAACTACGCATGCGTGCATAGCATGGAATGTGGAACCCCGAACACGTTGCGATGTATATATTTACGTCCCATAAATAACTACTAATTTTAATGAAATAATCCAAATTATTTAATTGTAAAAGTTGTAATTTTCTGAAAGTTTATACATTTATGAGTAGTAAAAAAATTCCAAATCTTGTCGGAAAATTTTATCTAGTCAGTTTTTTGATGAGATGCGCCGTACTGTCACTTTAATATATTACACAAAATTACATAAGAAAATAGGACAGAAATCATTTTAACTTTGATTGTCCTCTCAAACACAAAAGAAACTTATCTTGTAAACTTGTAATATACTGGTACACACATTTGTAAGTCAGATAATTCGTGGTGTGGAAGTTAGGGCCAATAAATAGGGATGTCATCGCAGATGTGGAAAGGAAAAGAGTGCAAAATATAAGTGTGTAGGAGGGGAAATAATTGAAAAAAAATTGGGGTGGGATGGGAAAAGAGAAATAATAGTGTCTTTTGAAATTTGGAGCGAAAATACTATTAAATAGGAGTGTGGGGGGGGGGGGGGTGTCATGCAAAAGCGGGTGTTGAATAGAAGAGGGCAAAAAACCTAGGATCGTGGTAGGGGGAAAATAGGCACGTGGTATAGGAAAGACTGCAAAGAAAGGATAGAGATGTTGAAATCAGAATTGATTACGCTGGATCATTCAATTGAAATTAAAAAAATAATGAATAAAAATTAATTAAACTTCAAATTAACCTTTGCATATTCTTCTTAAAAATCTTTTTAATTTCACCTTAAGGGCGGCTTTTTTAAAAAATAATTTATTTTCTATTTTGTTTAATGTAATCTTTATGTGTTTATTTGATACACGATGTTGACATTTCTCTTAAAGATTATAATGCGTAACCGCAATACTAATGTGTACATGCATGTCTTTTCTGATCACGTGATAATGTTTTATTAGTGGCACGTGACTAGTATAATATCTCCTTTGTACTGGTTCTGTGGTCTCGTTGAAGATTAATGAAACTATGTATTATATGTAAGTTCTCGTGAAAAAAGGGGGAGGGGTGGACCAGTTGGTAGTCGGAGTGGGCGCCCAGGAGGTGAAACCCCTGTAATCTCTCGGGTTTTAGAATCTTTTTGAACAGTTTAGCTCACCTGAGCCGAAGGCTCAATACTAAACTGATTTCTGCTTTTTCCTAGCCAAAGTGCTCAGGTGGGCGATGTGGTCCCTGGGCCTCTTGTTTTTATTTGTGTTAGCTTTATTTTAGGTAGAGTTAATGCAATATCCCACATCAAAAAACAAATGATTTATTAATCTTAAAATATATATTTTTTGTCACAAAACTCTAAATCCGCCAGTGCTGTTCATAGTTTTCTTATAACACATATTATCTGTTAGAAAGTTTAATTACAAACTTTACTGTTAGTTAAAAAATCGGGATTCATCTACATTTTCTTTTGAGAGAATAAAGAAAATACCGAGCGCACTCATTTTATAAGACCGCTAATATTCTGTCTGTCGGGCGAGGATGAACAAACATTTTTTTTTTCTGATCTTCAAAAAAAAAAAAAAAATAATAATAATAATAATAATTATAATAATAAATCTTTTTTAATCTCAGGTGTTGTAAGAGACTAATTCTCGTTAACACCTTCGGTTTTTCTATTTTGACGAGATTTGTTTACTCTTTATACGTGAACTTTGATGAACTTTTTGAAGTACGACAAAGTTAATTGTATGCGAACTTCCTGCTGTGCATATTTTCTAACAACAACTAACTTCTGTCAACAAGCTACTGACCCTCTGGTCATACGGTCAAAAATTTTGGCATAGTTTAGGTCAGAGAACCAGGCTACTGTTTACCTTGCAAGGTTTTTGAGAGAGAGAGAGAGAGTACACATGTGCATCTGACAGTCATTGCCACCAAGATTAATTATAAACTTTTTTTTCGACCAACTCTGATAACTGAAAGTGAATGCACTTGCAAACAACCAAATCTTTCTGAATAGCCTTATTTTTTCAATAAGAAAAAAAAACAAAAAAAATCATTGAAATGTGTTCGATATTGATTACATGTATCGTGGTTCACTTTGTCACAAGACTTCCGGATCTGAATCTTTGCTTTTTACATTACCTGGAATGCGAAAAGAAGAAGTAAATGAATAGGTGGGGTTTCGCTGGTTTTGTACAGTAGACGGTCGAAGCCTTCCGATTGCAACTCCACTTTGGTATCGCTCTTAGCAGGTTCATTTCCGGTGTCCTCCACATATGACACTTTTCGTTCTCTCGGAAGAGTACTTTGCTGTAACATAAAAATATCTTGTAGACATTACTTTATTAAGGTGCTTAGAATGCAGATACATGTATAGTAAGTCTGGGACGTCTTTCAGGCCTGTAGCCAGGATTTATAATCCGGAGTTAGAGCAGCAGTGCGTGTATATTACTTTTACATGAACGTTTATGTGTACGTTTTTGGTCATACTCTAGGCTATAATTTTCAGTATTTCACTATAATATTCATGCGCATATATATATATATATATATATATATATGAATTTTTACCTAGCAAATTGAAAAAAGTGGAAATTGGCATTTTGTCCCCTCCATCGGTTTTCTTTCTTAATCAATAAATTCTTTTATTTTTGATTATATGGCAAACGTTTCTGTTAATACTTGAGCATAACTGACACGAAGAAAACAAAACCAACCTTGATGTAGAACAAATTAAGTAGATTTATACGTTTTCCTACCTTCACTGCTCAAGGTCAAGGCAATTTCTCACATCAATCAGACGATATTGTCACATACAAAATTATTCTTGTGTCGCTTAGGTAACAGTAAGCGCATGTATTTAGAAATTGAGCGTCATGGATAACAAAAACTGTTGATTTTGAATTTTCTAGCAAAATCTTGGTTCAGAAGCATGTAAATACTAGGGGTAATGATATGTCGTTTGTACATTTTTAAATCAATTTATTTATTCGGTTAGTCATTTATTTGCCGTCTGTTTCATGTAAAATTTTGCATGGAATTCTTTATGAAGTTACGTTATTATGACGATATTGCGGTTTTGTAGTTGCGTGAAGTAAAAAGACAATAAATACGCTGTAAGTATACATGTACCTGCACCCTTAGTAAAAGATGTCACTTTAATCATTCCATTTATTATCTACCTGTAGTTGCTTACGTAACAATTACTGGTGGGGTAGAATGGAAATCTTCTTATCGTTTATCAAATATTTAAAACGTTCACCTAAATCGACGTGTTCCTGTTTTGCACACACTTTATAATTAGATACAGATCTTCAGATGTGCATTTTGCATTGTTTAATAATTTGAGGTATGAAATTTGCAATTGTTATTAGATTTTAATTCAGTCAGTTTATGATTGTAAATAGTCTCATAATTTTTTTCCCGCATATTATACACAAAAACTTTAAAAGATTGGAATAATTGACTCATGGTGGGATATATCTCTCCTCAGTGATGTATCAGTACTTTATACCAATGTGTCACAACATTTAGACAGAGATTGAATAATAACTATATTTTTATGTCTAAAATATGTGCAAATTGATAAGGAAAAATAAACTTAAAGCAATACATTTACATAATAATAAAACAACAAATCGATGAAAACACGAAAAAGAAACTTTACCTTTTTCTCTTCCTTATCTGAGATGTAGCCATTATTCTGCACACCATTTTCCTGGATTTCTATGGTTTCTGACATTTTGATTTTCTTCTAACATTCCATCAGACAAAATATTTACTGACTGACAACCCTCTACTTAACGGTGATGTTTTCTCACACATGATTTCACAGCGGTGTGAAACAAATATAGGCTAATTCTACGCCCCTGTACTTTCACAGCATTATATGGCGTTAAGATTTAATAGACCGTGACGATAGTAACGGCCGAGGACATTTCCAAAACCGAATATTGTCATTTCTAAGTAGAATCTTATTTCCTTTTATAAACGAACCCTGGAGATATTTGAACGATGTTCCAAATACATTAAACGGTGCCCATTATAGAACGTAACATTTTAAAAGCTAATTTCTAACAGGGTCCATCAAACCTTAACAAAAAATTCATGGACAGTTCGGAGATGAAGGAAAACGTAAACATATTGTACGTCAAACTAAGACACCTAATTTCTGGACATATACATTTTAATTAGTTTGCCTTGAGTTTCACATTAACGTCACTCAAAACGGAATGTCATGGCTCAGTCAGGGTTTTATCGTGTGACCGGAAAAGAGTGAAGAGTAAACTTCAGCCGTTCTCGACTACCGGATGTTGAATGGTGTTAATAATGTTAGATATTTTATGTGATTGCTATTTAATTGCGAATAGAATAGATCCTCAGTTTAGGTTGTCCACGCGAATTTTGGGGAAATATTTTATATATATCATCAAATGTATTACTCACGATTCCATATACAAATGTGGTGTAATTCGTCACAGAGAGGGCTTTCCCGCAGTGTTACTTCAGGACTGCGCAAAAATATATACAAGGAAGATTTCTTCTCCTATCCTTGTCTTTGCTCACCCATTAAGTACTAGTAGGACAGTCCTGTTAGCAACCTTTTCCAGCTGATTCCATTCGAAGCAAACCTAACAATCTTCCACGCACCTGACAAGACGGTCTTTTTTGCTTGTTACTCTTTTGTCTAATTCTAAGGTTTTCGAAACTCATACTATTTTATTTTAATCAATAATTTAATGTATGAATTAAAAGAGACATATGAGTGAATTTATTGAATTATTTAAAGAGTTTTAAGTTGAAACCCACAATAACCTATAAACAATAATGACAAATTCGTGTATTTTATGACAAGTAATACACAAAAGAATTAAAAGAAAACAAATTTAAGTACATGTATATTATTAACTGAAGCTGCAGAACTGTGGCTCTCTAGTTAAGAGAATTTGGACAGACAAACCAGAGAGCTACAGATCCAAGCATTGTATACATAAATTAAACCTTCAATTTACGGCGACGCTTTTTTGTCGCTCGCTTCGGGTATTATTTTTTGTATTGTATGCGTTATTGTATGCAAGATCATGCTATCCGTTAATTAACAAAATGATTTATTCATAATTTTATTCATATTTTGTACCAAACATGTAGAACTCTAAAAGGAGGAAAGTCTCAAATTTTCTAAAGACTGATCGCAAAAATAAACATTATTTTGTTTCTTTTCTAAACTGTGCAAAAGTCCCCTGCAACCACTTTTGTACTAGTTTCACTTTATATATATTGGTTTCGCAAAAAAAAAAAAAAAATTGACACAGTCAATACTAGTATTTTTGTAAACCGGTAGAGAGGCAATCTTCAAAATGAAAAAAAGGGAAATAATATCAGATTATCAGATTCATGCTCAGTGATGACTATATTCAACTTAATTGAAAATTAAGAGTAACTTTAATTTTATATACATTTAACAGCTTTAGCCCTGATATATATATTCTTAAGACTTTCCATGCCTAATTCATTCGGCAGTTAAAGTTGAACACGACTCGTAAAAGGAAGACATTTATCCTTGTCTGCCATTTTTCTTTTCACTTGTCTCATTTCCAAAGCCACTATATAAGCCCCTGATCATGACTTCTTCACGGTTCCAAGTATTTCGCTGTACAGATCTCATCTGTGTCGACATATTCTACAATGCAGCGCATTGAAGTGGTAAAATTTTTCGTTTGAATGGAAAGTTTGGGAGTTTCTTATCGAACATCAATTGTGACATTATGACACGCCCATTTCTTTAGAAAAGAGAAAGAAAAAAAAATCGTTGTAATGCTTTAGGACACCCCGCTTTCTGCGACCAGCAACTTGAGTTACACTGAAATGGATATTTTGTAAAGTTATATATATTGACATTCAGTGTAATTTTCTGGATGAAATCCATTGGAAATCTAGACCACTACAACATTCAATATCCTGTAACACACACGAAACCTTGTCACTACGCGGTAGAATACATAGTACTATGTGCATTTTCAATACTCTAGGAACACCAACATGTATATTGTTTTGGCTCAGTTTAATCAAAACAATTACCCTATTAAATTATTGTAAAAATATAACATTTGTACATTTAAAATATTTTTTTTTCATTTTTTCCCTCGCAATATTCATTTGCGTTATTGAACTTTCCATGTCACAAATGGCTCCTATGTTTACTAAGCAAACCAGTTCTGAAAGGCATAACAATAGAAATTGACAATTATGAAGAGAGAAAAATAGAGAAGGTAAATACCGAGCTAACGCGCAGTATTCAAATCGTCGGCACGGCCAGTTGCTGTTATAGGACCGACTACATCCAAAAATAAGAATTTAATGCTTAATTGTATCGTAATTCAACAATTTTAATCCTTTCTTATTTATTTTTCACTTATTCATTATACAAAATTTGTTGACGTCAAACAACTGCCAAAACATGACATGGAATGGGAAATTACAATGGCATATGGTCTAATTTAAATACCTACAGATACGAAATTTGGTTGTTTTGCTAAGAACTGAAATAACTGACAAGAAAGTAATTATTAGCCCTTTTCACTATACAGTTTAAAAATTGATTTTAGATTCGATCTATCGACTGAATCTTTCTTAACAAATATATATATATCGGTATTCGTAATATTCAACCAAAATAAAAAAGTGACAGAAAGACAGATCGATCTCAAAATTCTTTACAAACGGTTTAAATTTGTAAACAGGGCATAAAACATGGACCCCTGAAAACTCCAGAGATTGAATCAGGTGCCTAGGAGGAGTAAGTAACCCCTGTAGACCGCTTTGAGCCCTGTGTATTGATTAAATATACCGAGTATTTTAATATAAAACAAAGACCTTACAGTTAGTTTGAAAATGTCAGACATGATATCACTCAGTATAAGGTTGTATCTGCAAACATTGTCATTAGTTTAAGAAGTATTTTATTTACGATACACATAGGAGTACATACAGTGAAATGGATTGAACAGCAGGCAAAATTGTTTCATGATTTGTACTTTGATCTCTAATGGAGAGAACTAATATAGGCCAATGTTGCCTGCTGTTCACAAACAATTTATTTAAGCATTAACCATCTAAGTTACAATTAAACAAATCTGCATTAAGATTACTTGACAAGTTTATCAATTGACGGTGAAGTATATTTCATTTCCTTTGTCCATAACTGTATAATTTGGATTTTATTTTATCATCAAGATTTTAATTTTGTATACATTTTTTGAATTTAACTGCAGTTGTTGCAGATTTCGAGCTATCTGGCAAATCCTTCCATAACTTAATTGTAGATGATAAAAAAAACTATTATAATATGCAACTGTCCTAGTGATTGGTATGTGATACATATAGGATCTCCCATGATTTGTAGTTGGATATGATTTTTATCCAACGAGTTGTGTGTTTTTTTTATCCCCGAGCCTTGGCGAGGGGATAAAAACACACAACGAGTTGGATAAAAGTCATATCCAACTACAAATCATGGGAGATTCTTTTTATCCCATGTTTAATACTTCACAACCAATGTTTTACACTGTTTTATACAGGACTCCACTTTATTTTACTTCATCACTCTAACGCAAATACCATTGTGACGTCACAACTGCACTTAACTATGGAATATGAAAAAATTATCCAATGAGTCATATCCACGGGATAAAGGGGTAAACATGGGATAAAAATTATTATTAAAGCATAATTATGTGAAACGGGTAGACACTGTTTAACCATCTCATGCAAATATTCAGGCGTATAATTATTAAGTATTTTGTACATAAGTGTAACCTTGTGTTAAATTCTTCTTTCACAGTGTTTTCCATCCTAAATAATTATATAATTTTTTTTTCGAAGAATTCCGCCTTAGTCAAGTAATGATACGCCCAATCTCTATTTGTACACGTTCTAATAGATTACTCTGCCCCTGTGTGCAATTATCCCACACTTCATTGCCATAATCTAAAATAGGTCTAATGAAAGCAATATAAATACAAATATGGGAATCCCTGTTTAATTTATATTTGAGTGTGCGAAGAACATTTAAATGTTGGCATGCTTTGTTATATATTTTGGAGATATGTTCAGACCAACCGCCATTGAATTGCAATATAAGTCCAAGGTGACAATGACTTTGCTTCTATGTAGTTTTAACCAAAAATTTTAATGAGATTTGTGGATGTGATTTATTTGACCGAGGAAAATTAACATTTACAGTTTTATCAGGGTTTAAATCCACCATCCATTGTCATTATAATGATCATAAAATTTTCGAAATGCTAAAGGGTGTGTTGTAATCCTTGTTACATGTATTTATTTGTCAGTGGCATGCCTCTTAGAGCTTGTTATTGTGTATGGAATACGTTGGGAGACGTAAAACCATATACAGGTGGTAGTGGAATATCACTATGTACAACCCTAACCCCAGATGAATTAAAGACCATCTATTTAATATCGTAGACAAACTGTTTCTTAATAGTAATGTAACTCGCAAATTTTCCTATCTTGACATCGTCATCTACAAACTTAGGAAGAAATCCTTCTGATTCTACATTCAAGTACACTGAAGTTGATATTAAAAAGATGCTTGAATTCTTCATCGACAACATCAGTGTAGTCTTTGAAGATCAGGATTTTCAACAATCTGTTGGAATTTCCATGAGTACTAATTGAACCCTATTAACAAACCTATATTTGTATTTTTATGAAGCATAGTTTATAAAAAAAAAAAAAAACCTTTTACATCAAAAGAAGAAGTCTCTTGCTGTGGATATCAGTTCAATATT